ACGGACAGGTGGAAAGTTATTCCATCCAATCACAGCAGATGTTCGTTGACTCTTCCAGGACTGAAACTGATTTTTGATTTCGATTTCTGATCTTGATTCTGTCGATAAGACACATCCTAAACAGAAATAAACCAAGTTTCAAATTTCAAAAAAATCGCGGCCGAACCACCGCTTGGGCCGCGTCGCACACCAGCTCTCGCACACAGCCGCCGGTAGGTGTACACATGTTGTTGTGAAGACCGGCAACCAAATGGAACTCGACCAAGAGAGGGTCTCCTGCCTGCAGCAGTTGGTTCCCGACGGATACACGCTGCGCGACAAGCTCAGCATCGAGAGACAGAAGCCACGAAAGTATCGGTTAGTGCTGCACTCAAGGTCGCGAGCCAACAATACTGAGTTGAAATGGCGGAGCCGCTGGATCACGTCTGGGAAGCCACGCGGCCGCGACGCCGTCGCGGAGGGAATAATCATAGACGAGGTGACTGCTGCTGACTGGGATGCCGTTCAACTCAAGAACTCAGCGTACACCCCGGTGCAGAGAGCACCACCGCGGGATTCAACAGCACCCGCAGTTCGAGCCGCAGCGCCAGCCGTTGGTTCACTACAAGTACCCGGTCTCGCAGGCGCGCACAGATCGCGAGATCCAAGTTGGGGTGGACAACGGGAAAACAGTGGGCGGCCCTTTGGAAAGTTGGGGAGGGCGGCCCGGCGGATGCGTGCGTTGACACTTCGGCAGGAACTAGAGGAAGCCGTTCCTGGGGCATTCAACCTCTCTGCAAGCAGTCTGGAAGAAGTCGTGCGGGCGTGGATAGAGTTCGAACCCGAGTGGGCCGAAGAGGCGAAGAGGAGATACCTGAACAAGGAAGGGCACGTACAGCACATCTCAAGCTGCAAAGAAGATTAGGCGTGCGAAAGGGGCGGAGATGAAAGCTCGGGTGTTGACGTCGAGACGGTGGAGGAGACCGAGCGCTTGCCGGATGGTGGTGTCTGGGTTTGTGTCGATGATCTCGAGTCTGCGCTGGCAGACTTGCCCGAAGACCTGCAAGCCAGAGTGCGGAGCAAGAAAGCCTACCCTGGCGGGAGGCGGGCCATGCTTCTCTACCAGGACGAGAGCATATTTCGAGGTTAGTTTTAAACGGAGCAAAGCGGGTTCGATAATTTAGGTGTAAATTCCGGGCGCGAACAGTAATCTTGCTCGCAATTCAATTGTGGGACTTTAAATTTAATCACACATGTTGACAGCGCCACATCTGCCGCCCCTAAATTGTCGGTTTCTTGTTTGTATTTGCAGCCAACGACGACCAGAGGCGCGCGTGGTATCGGGACGGCCAGCATGTGCCCGTGAAGAAGTCACAAGGCCAGGGGATCATGGTGTCGGGAATGATAATCCACAACGTTGGCTTCTTCTCGGCGTCGCGGGCACAGATCCAGGACGCGGAGCGCAACCGCAGGAAACGATGCGCCGCCTCAGCTGCCGCGAAGCGACGGGGGGAAAACGTGAAGGTGGAGAAGTTCCGCCCCATCGACATGCTTCATGAAGACGAGCATGGACAGTACTGGTCCTACCACCTCTTCGAGTACGGCAAGAACAAGGAGGGATACTGGACCGGGCTCAGGATGCTGGACCACATGTCAGACGTGCTCGACATGTTCACAGTTCTCTACCCTGAGCACAAGCCTGTAGGCCTGTTCGACTGGTCGTCCTGTCATGACGGCATGGAGGTCGGCGCATCGTCGGTGAAGATAATTAATTTGGGTGTCGGTGGTGTGAGGAACGGAGAAGAGCTTGCGCCGATGGACCCCGTGACCATCCTCGAAGATACCCCGAATCTCCCAGCCGGCACGGTACAGCACTTTGTGTTTCGGAGGGGGGACGATCCCCCCTTCCACTCCCCGCATCTCAAGCCGGCGCAATATGTCGGAAAGTTGAAAGGAATGCGGCAGATTTTGTGGGAGAGGGGGCTCCTGGTCAAAGGCATGAGTAAGACGGGGGGCTCGGGCGAAAAGCAGGACCTCAGCAAGAGCATGGAGCACGTTTGGGAGAGCAGAAGGACTTCAAGGAAGTTGATTCTAGTCTGGTGCTGTTGATGCAGCGCCACGGGGGGGCCTGTCTCATGCTTTTTAAGTACCACTGCGAGTGTAACCCCATCGAGCTTGTTTGGGGCCGAGCGAAGGACTGGACTCGAAAGAACTGCAAATATTCGTGGAATGCTTGCGCAAGAACGTGCCGCTGAGTTTTAGACCAGAGAAGGATAGACAGGCTGTTTCGGTAGTTCAGGGCTACTAACAGGGTTTTCGCCTGATTGAGAGCGGAGTATACGATTGAGAGCGGGAGCCAAAAAAATTGAAATTTCGGGTCCAGACGGCCTCTTGCCATTTCTTGGGAAGTAGGGGGCGGGCTCTTCCAAGAAGCGGCGCAAATTGAAGGTCTCATCAGCAGCGTCACGAGCACATGCGT